AAGCCGTTTGCCACGACAAAGTCTTGTCTATAAAATTCAATCAATAATCTCTCCCATAAGCTATTGTGAGGCTTTGAGACCTTGTGAATGGGCAGATGGGTTGTAAAGTGCTTATAGGGGTGAATGGATAGTTACTGGGAAAATTGAGCTGGGGTCCAAATAGAGTTTCAATTCAACCAAGAAATAAGAATTCAAATTGCCTTCTGCAGGGCAACCTTGATGGTTGGCAATATTCAGGGCTCATCCGTTTGCCTCTCATTCTGCTGCTGGCTATTCAGTAACCTCAGGCTCTGAGTCCTGGAGTTCCAAATGAACATTGCACAGAGTCTTCCTGCTGCTCTGTCATGAGCCAGAATACCTCCATCATTAAATATGGAAATGACACACAGAGGAGAAAACAGCAAGTGAATGGCAGAACTCAAACAGGCACAGGTCTTGGTCCCGAGGTTATCAATATGGGAGAGAAAGCACTTAGACCATGTGAGCAAAGAAAGAACTTGTCCCCTAATACTTCAATGTAGAGAGCATGTGTCCTACCATTGACTACCATTGGGGATGCTTTAGATGGTGGCACTTTAGAATCAGGAGGCCTGGGCCTATATTCCACATCCATAGTCAGGTCAGGCACCACATGACATCTCTGATGAGGTTTGCTCATTTTCAAAGAGGGAGCAATTTTGGTACTTGTAGGGAAGGTTTTTATGAGGAAACCCATGGAAAGTGCTAACCAAATACCCAACAGAAAGAAGCATATTAGATGTCAGCTTCTCTTACTGTTCTGTTTTTACTATTCATTAAGTTCAAAGGAGCTAAAATAAAAAGGAGAGGAGACACTTAATCTGAATTAAATATAGTACTAATAAAAATATTAAGCTGATGGTTTTTCTTCTGTCTTTATTTCCAAAACTATGAAATGTTACTTGTATTAAGTCAGTACATTTCTATAGTTTGCAATTCATTCTCTAAATTCTCTTTCTCAATACGTTGAACTCCTAGAGAGGAGCTCAGTAAACTACTGACAGGTTTGTCTTCCTGGTATGTGCAGAGGCAGGGAACATTCTCCAAGTATTGACATCTGGTTAGAATTTAGTAGTTTAGTTTAAATTTTGTTAGTTTATGGCTACTTTCTATTTACAGTATATAAAACTGATTTTCTATTTTGGGACCTGATAAAATTGTCTCCTTTTAAACTAAATGTCTGTGAGTGAAATACTGATGGTAATATAGTTAGCGATACAAAGCAAAGCATGTATTTAGCAAAACTTGTAACAGTGGCCCTTTGGGATCTATGGCAGAAGGTTTGCACAGATCCACCTGGCTCAGATACCATCTGCATTTTGGAGAAGAGAGTGAGACAAATCCCACTCAGGGCCAGCACAACAGTGTGCCTGACCCAGATCTTCAAGTCTGTCCCTATACCGATTACATTCAAATCAAATACTTAGTCTTAGTTTTCTAGATTATGTGGAAATTGGGCAACTTTTGGCCAAAAGAGCCAAGCACCCTGGCCTTTGTTTTCCTCCTAGGCTCAGTGTTTGGGAGCAGATTTTGATCACAGCAAATTGAAGTAATAGAGAATAACAGAGATAAAAAGCACCATGCATCTCTCACCTAAGAGAGCCACAATCTCACAGAGAAACAGCTAGAGACCAAGAAGACATTTTGTTGTCATGTGAAGACAATATTGGAGGTGATTTGGTTGTCTCCACTCTCTGGCCCCTCAATGAGTCTCCTCCCTCCCCCACCCACAATGTCCTACCCTCCCCCATTTCTCAGATAGTTATTTGTTTCTGGACAGAGCAAGTTGGCAGCAGGAAGTAAAAATATTCGTGGGAGGAGAAAGTGAAATCTCAGTTTTTTGGTTTTTTTTACCTATACATCCTAGGTTTTATTTCTTTTTACTTTCTAGTTGCTAATGGAGAGGGTTGGTGACCTAGACCAGCAGGTTGTTCTTCAGTGACAGTGGTCTAGGTGAGATGGCCAGACGATAAGATAGGAAATCTGGGGTTGGGAGGTATCGCACAAGCTACGGATTAAGCTGAGCTAGCCTATTAAGTAGTACAGCATTCTATATGCTATTTGCAGAAGGAGAATGGCCAAGGTCAGTAGCTAAATCAGAAAACTCTTAAAAGAGAACACAGGATACCTCAGACACAGCTGCCTTCAGACTGATAACCACAGCCCTTCAGACAGGAAAGCTGGGCTCCTAGGAATTGAAGAAACCTTAACTCCTTCAAAGCGCAGGCCTTAGACTGCATCTTACCAAGTCTGCTCCTGGGCAAGGGCAAAGAACTAACATTCCTTTTCCCTTTCATGAGGGCCTCTGAACCTTGGTTCGGTCTGGCTCCTAACAGGTTGAGGTGGGATCTTCAGAATCAGGTATTCCTATAGACTACAAAGTCAAATGGAGAGAAAGCACAGTGAATCCATTTATCCTAGGCATGTACACAGACTTCATTAAACATCCAAGTGGTTGCCAATGATCATCTGGCCTGTAACTGGGTCACGACACTGCCTTCCCCAGTAACATCTCTTCTTAACTCCACAGGCTTCCTGAAAGGTCATGAGAAGAAGGCAAATTTAAGTCTCCTTGAATCCTGAACCGTTATGTGTCTTCTGAGTCTTCCATACTCACACTGCATCATCTGGATTCCTGGAAGCCATGCATGGAACCAATGCTAGGCTAGCAGCTCTGCAGATGGAATGAATCCAGTCTTGCCTTATGACTTTGAACTTGGGTTATCCCCATGCCTTGCTATTCCTAGTCCCTTCAATTTTTCAGGGAAAGACAGAAAGGGACTTAGCTCTAAGTGGTTCACTAGTTTTCAATATAGGAGGACTCAGCTCTAAGAGGTTTACTAGGAGAGTCCCAATAAGGGTGGTGACTATCTTGAATTGGCCAGGGGCTGTGGAGTGTCTTGGGATATGAGACTTCCAATGTTAAACCTAGATAGGTGGTCTCTTCATTCATTTGTGAGGGATGGCCACCCTTTCTCACTGTATCTGAAGATGGAGAAAAGAAAGATTAATGATAAGTTCTTCCTTTATAGATTAAACAAGGACAGGAAGCAATTGTGATATGTCATTACAGGAAGTAGAAAGGCAAGTAGAACTTGGTGTGCCGGCTCAAGCCTGTGACTCCAACTCTTGAGAGATGGAGGTAGGAGGATCAGGAGTTCAGTTCAGTCTCAGCTACACAGTGAGTTTGAGGGCAGCCTGGGCTATGAAAAACCTTGTCTCAAAAAGATAAAAGAAGAGAAGGAAGGGATAAGGATGGATGTTGGAGAGAGAGAAGAAGGAGAAAGAATGAAGCGTTAAAACAGGGCAAAGAAAATTTTTGGTTGCTGCTCCTGACACATCCTGACCTCGCAGTGCATAGAGTAAGGATGCCAGGCCATGTTCATCTTCCCCATTCCCTCTGTTTCGCCAGCAGTAAATCAAACTGGTCTTTGTCAACAGAGAGAGAGAAAGAAAGAAAGAAAGAAAGAAAGAAAGAAAGAAAGAAAGAAAGAAAGAAAGGAAGGAAGGAAGGAAGGAAGGAAGGAAGGAAGGAAGGGAAGAAAAGGAAGGAAGGAAGGAAGGAAGGAAGGAAGGAAGGAAGGAAGGAAGGAAGGAAGGAAGAGGGAAGGAAGGAAGGAAGGAAGAAAGGAGTAAAGGAAGGAGGGAAGGAAGCAAGCCAGCAAGCAAACTGTCTTCAGAGTATCAAGTGTCCTCTCTCTTGAAGAAATAACTTTCCCAAGACAAAGAAGGTGATGATTGTTTAGCATAGGAAAGAAAACATCTTGACATTTACAAAACATGTTGAAAATGGGTCCATAGTAGCTTTCCAGGCAGGCAGGGATCAATGATAGTTTCAGGCACAGAAAGATAAGTTTATTCTTTGCTCAAAACAGAAAACAGCCTAGGACCAACCATTGGGTGGTTCAGCACAGGACACTGATCATTCCTAAAATGTTGTTCATGGGATCAAATGAGGTTCTCTTCTTAGCTCTTTTTATTTTAATTTGTTTCATGTTATATATGTGTATGTGTGTGCCTGAGTGTATGTATTTGCACCATATGTGTGCAGGAGTCTGTGGCAGTCAGAAGAGCTGTAAGATCCCCTGGAACTGGAGTTATATATAGATGGTTGTGAGACACCATGTGAATGCTGGGAGCCAAACCTGTGTCTTCTGCCAGAACAACAAGTGATCTTAAACACTGAGCCACCTCTCTAGCCCCATACCTCCACCCCTTAATTCTTGAGTCATCAAACTGTTATTTGTCAACATCCATAGCACACAGGGTCCTAGTCCACTGTCATGGAAGGGAAGTAGATAGAAATTCATTATAAATAACCCAAAAGCTGACATACCAGTACCAGTGGGAAAATGGCAACTTTACACACACACACACACACACACACACACACACACACACACCCCACCAGCTCAGCTTATAGAGGTGTCTTGGTAATAGATTCAAAGCCAAAACATAAGCAGAGTCTTTGAAATCTATCCTCAAGTGAGAACTATTACCTCACATGGTATGTTATATTTGAGAGAGAGAGAGAGAGAGAGAGAGAGAGAGAGAGAGAGAGAGAGAGATGTTAATGGTTCTAAACCAAAACTCCTGATGCCTTCTATGTCATCTGGAGCCCACCAAAGCATGTTCAGAGTGAAGAGGAAATGGGAGATGTTTGACTAAGAGAGAAGACCAACTGCACTGGCCCTGTAGAACCCAGACAGGAGGACTTGTATGCCAATGAACGACAGAACTTCCACACAATTAGAGCATCCCCACCACATTAGGAGGTAGTGTGCTCCTGTCCCTGGAGAGGTGTGAGCAGAGACTGACCACATGTCAGTATGCAGTGGGAGAAGCCACTTGGGCTCTGGGTAGGACGCTGGATCTGATGATGTCTGAAATCCCCACACAGTTCTGAAATCCTTGATGTGCTGGGTTCAGGTCCCACTCAACACTGTCTTCTGTGTACCTTCACTGGACCCTACCTCCCCATGCTTCATGCTTCACTGGTGATGCCCAGGGTCAGGAGTGATTCCAGAGTAATCTGTTCATGCAGACACAGATGGAGATGGATGTCTAAACAGCAAGCCATGTCTTCAATCAAAAGCACGATTCCAGGGACTCTGGGTCATTGTGTATGGGCAATTTCTCCAGTTCCTGGTGATGACCACTGTGCAAAACTGTATACCTAAGGAGGGAAAAAAAGAAGGCATGAGAATTCACCAGGCATCCTTCAAAGGCATCTCTACTCTCTGCTCCCCTTTCTTGGATGTATTTGAGGAGACACAGAGGTGGGAATGGAATGGAATGGAACTTTACAGAGAGGGAAAGGCCAAAGAATTCACCAAGATTGTGTAGGTTAAAGGTTGGAAAATGGAGTCCTAGGGGAGACAGGCCTATGATGCACAGAGAGATGACAGAGCTAGGACAAGGACCCTGATTTCATTTTCCAAGATGGTTCCTGTGCCACTGGTCAGAACAGACCTATGAACAACTGCAAGCTGGCCCTGAGTAAACCCTTCCAGGAGTTTTCTGATGTCTATGTAAAATGTTGTTTCTCTACTGAGGTGTCTAAAACTCAGACTACATCCTGTGACCTGAATTGAAGGGGGAAATGTATACACTTGATATAGTGAGTGACTGTCCTCTAAGCGACTACCATGTTAGGACATTTATTTGTGCCCCCTTTGAAAAAACTCACCCCATCTGGGCTTATTAACAATTTATACTCTCCACTCCTGAGTATCCAGCTGCCTCTGTACCAACTGACAACTCTGTGTATGGCCAAAGAGGAGAGAGAGAGAGAGAGAGAGAGAGAGAGAGAGAGAGAGAGAGAGAGAGAGAATTCAATTTTTGTGGCCATGGGGGAAGCCCTCAACCCTGCTGGGTAAAGACCACCAGATATGTTCAGTTGGAGAGACGTGGCCTCACTCTTGCAAGTACTCCCTCATCTATGCTCTGTAAGAAAGCCCAATATAATCAATCATTGGTTCCCCGGAATGAACGTTGGTGGAATTGTGCCTCAGTTTGTCATTGAGGCATTAGGAAAAGGGGTAGACATTGCTATGTATCCCACTAGGAAGGGATTCTAGCAACTATGGGAACAAATACATTTCAGGTAGAGGAGTAGGCCACAAACACATACGGTATTGGTGGTCCTATAGCCAACTATGAGCAACTCAATATTCCTCCTGGGACTTAGGGACAATGTACTCAGTGTTGTGCCACAAAGCCTTGTGCCTTCAGTGCATACTGCTGTGCAAGTTTATGCCGATGTTTCTAAGGTAGATCTTGGCTGCAGTTTTGAAGTACAGCGAGGGTTAGGGCAGGTCGTGGGACAGGAAACCAGAGGGAAAAGGAGAGGTGGAGGGAGATGATATCTGTAAGATATCCAGAACCAGGAGGCAACCTTGCAGATCCCTCTGAGATCCTCTGGCTTTTTACTGCCTGGGAGGCATTTGAGCAGTGATCCAAATGACCTTGGAATAGGCTTCTTCTGGCTAGACACTCTCTTGAGAGTATACTCATACTTTGCTTAATGACAGGTATGCACTCTGGCAAGTATATTATTAGGCAATGTAATCATTGTGCAAATACATAGAAGGCATCTACATAAGACAAGATACTGTACCTTGCTATACTACAAGTTCCATGGTTCGGCCATTGACTGGGCTAAAATCCTGTGCAGATTGCACTCAATACTATAACACACAGGAAGTACAAGGTCAGAAGGAAATGAGAATTTTCCGGTTTAAGTATTCTGTGGGAGTTCTATGCCATACATATGACTCATCAGTAACTGAAATGCCATTATATGGCTCGTGACAGTTGATAGAAGGATGCTGGACAACAAGATGACTTAACGTTTTGCAGCAGCAACTCGGGGGAGTGAAGGAAGATGGTGTTGTGGCCCAGGCAACGAGAAGCAATCAGATTCTGGATACAGAGACATTATCCTCGGTAGCATGTAACTTTCCATCTTGCTGGATTTACGCTTGAAGCAGCTCTCATACCGTGTTTGTGTATCTCATCATCGAGAACTGCTGTGCTGTGCAGCATGCTAAGGCTTCCAGTGGATCCTAACAGACTCGGCATCCAATCAGGATCTGCCAGTCACTGACTATGTAACATTTAGTAAACTGTTCTACTTCACTACGCATCTCCTTTCTCCTGTGCAGCTGAAGGAAGGAAATATTCCTCACAGTATCACTGCACAGAGAAGGAAGCACAAAGTACTGGACCGGCCCATTCCAGAAGCTCAACATGCAAAGCTAACACAGTTCCAAATACATCTTCTCCTCCACAGCTCATAAAGTGAAGAGCGTGTCATGTTGGTGGTCATGTATACACAGCTCTAAATGGCTGAAGGATTTTCCTCCTTTATTTCCTTTGTTGGGAATACCTAGAAGACCTCAAGGCCTAGGAAATTCCTTATTTTGCTTTTTCTTCCTCCATTGTGAAAATCACAGCATGATTTACAAGCATACACTTCTGTGCCTTTTGGCAGGTCACTCCAGGCAGGCAAAAAGGCCAGAACTATGCAAAGAAGAAACATGTGTCCAGAGATGCTGAAGTTGGATCCTGAGATGCATGGTAAGTAACTGACAGGGCCTGGCCTAGACCCACGTCAGACCCACACCTGTTGGCCTGGCTCATGAACAGCATTGCTGAATGGACTAACAGATTAGTGGAACAGAGCTATGCTCTACACCTGAGGTATAACGATTCCCTGACATTGATTCCTGTGCAGAGAAAAACAACAACAACAAAAGATAATGATAGTAATAAAAGACCATCTGTCATTCAATTTATTGATGGATGAAGGTGCTTGGAACCATACTTAGTCATGACATACATGACTTCATTTACATAATTATTTTTCACAACTGTACATGTTGGTTACTCAGATTTATTTCACAGATGAAAATAAAATAAAATAAAACAAAACAAACAAACAAAAATACTGTGGCTCAGAACTGCTAGTCTGGTTGAGCCAAGGTCACAGTGTGTGTAATGTCACCATGCTAAGCTCAAAGTGCATTCCCAAACTCTGCCAAACTCCATAGAAATAGAACACTTTCCACTGGCCACCTGTGGCACTTCTCCTATGGGACTCGTATAAAAAGCATGTCCTGATAAGAAGGAAACCTGGTATTTTGATCATGTAGGAAGTTTTGTTGGTGAAGTGGGGAAGGGGTTCATGACCTCCATCCCTAACTGACAAGATATGGACAGGTGCTTGGGGTTCCAGAAGGTTTGGCCTCTCGAGGCAGAAGGGCATGACAGAGCAGAGTGGCTCTTGTGCATGGTCAGGAAGTAGAGTCTTCTCTAGCCTATGGGATTGTACTCTTAGCATTCACAGTGATTCCTTCCCCCTTAGTTTATCCTCTCTCAATAAACCTTCACAGACACACCAGAGGGGTGGTCGACTAAACCTCCTGGGATTCACTCCCTCCAGGCTGACAGTCAAGGATAACCATGATAGAAACTAATGATTCACCTGTCAGGATAACCAGAAAGGAGGTTGAAACCAGAGCAGTTTTTCCAGGCAGCTGGAAGACCACCACACTCTTTAGAGATAGGGATGAGTCAATGGGTATGCTTTCTAGTTAGACTTTGGGGTGGGCTTCTGTGCTAGTTTTTTTTTTTTAAATCAACTTTTTTTTTTTTAATCAAGTCAGAGTCATCTGGGAAAAGGGAACATCGATTGTTTCCATCGTGCTGACCTGCAAGTCTGTAAGCAAGGCTGGGTAGCATTTCCTTGAGTAAAGATTGACAGCGGAGGGGCCAGCCCACTGTAGTTGGTGCCACAGTGGTCCTGAGTTGTATAAGAAAGAAGGCCGAGCAAGCCAATAAGCAGAGCTCCTCCATGGCTCCTACCTCTGCTGATGCTCGGGCTCCTGCTTTGCCTTCTCATTGAGTGTGATCAGGACCTGTGAGCTAAATAAACCCTTTTCTCCCTGAGTTGCTTTTGATTGTTGTGTGCATCACAGCAATAGGAAACAAACTAGCCCAGCCATCTTACAGGCTGTGGTGGGGATTAAACACTGAAAAAAGGAAGGTGACTTAGCTCCCTTGCCAAATAGGAACAAAGTCTCCCATTTTAGTCTACGGAGGTCCTGCCATGGCTTGTGTATTTCTAAGTCTCCATGATTTACACAGTTTTAATTTAGGTGTTGTACTGGCTGGTTTTGTGTGTCAGCTTGACACAAGCTGGAGTTATCACAGAGAAAGGAGCCTCCCTTGAAGTAATGCCTCCATGAGATCCAGCTGTAAGGCGTTTTGTCAATTAGTGATCAAGGGGGGAGGGACCATTGTGGGTGGTGCTATCCTGGGCTGGTGGTCCTGGGTTCTATAAGAAAGCAAACCGAGTAAGCCAAAGGAAACAAACCAGTAAACAGCACCCCTCCATGGACTCTGCATCAGCTCCTGCCTCCAGGTTCCTGCCCTGTGTGAGTTCCTGTCCTGACTTCCGTTGATGATGAACAGCAACATGTAAGTGTAAGCTGAATAAACTCTTTCCTCCCCATCTTGCTCCTTGGTCATGTGGGAATAGAAACCTGACTAAGACAGGTGTTTTCTCTTTGATGGAAAATATACCATATGAGCACATATTTGCAAGTATCTGGATGGCCACCAGTAAACTGTGTGTCAGAATTCAAGGCTCTTGTTTGCATGTAGATACATAGAGATGCCAGAGTCCATGGCTCAGTTTCTTCAGTGTTTCTCCAAGTAGAGGGCCCCAATCCCAGCTGGCTGCAAACACACTTGTGAACACACCCTTACATCCTCAGATTTAACAAGTATGTAGAGCAAAGGGATCCCACGCTGCTAGCAAACAAAGTTTCAAACCTGTCATCTAATAGTTGTGTGACCTGACCAAGCCAGTTATCCCTGTGTACCTGATACCTTTGGTGGAAGGGTAAAATTAGCATCTATCACAATGCTGGGCACAGAGTGGGTGGAGGAATCTTCACTGGTTAAAAAAAAAAAACTGAGCTCAGAAAATGAGACTTTCCCAAGGTTGAAGTATATACATATGAGATAGTTAGGAATATGAAATTGATGTATAGGGAACTTAAGAATTCTTGAGGCAGAATGCTTGGGTTCAAACCTTTTCTCTACCTCTCACTTATTGTGTGAATTGTTTCCAAATTCTCTGGAGAGTTATGACCATTGAATGACATG